TTTCCACAGTTCTTTTTCACAAGATTCTATTAAATTGAGCCTGAGATAAATTAAAACATTAGGTTTTAAAATATTGAAAGTATGGAAAAAAAATCAAAATGAACCACATGCATTGCTTTGAAATCAGGAAAAAACATTCCGAAAGCCAGGTGTAGTACAAATAATATTGAAATAATTTTTATTCGGAAAAATGAACTTGACCATTGAATTCCTCAACCTAAAAAGTGAACGATAAAGAATTCTTATCATCTAATTTTTTTAATTTGACCCCCCAAAAAATTAATGAAAAAAAAAAAACACATTTTAGAAATTTAGCCTGTGACCCCCACATGTCAAAACCCCAAAGGAAAGAAGGAAAATAGAAAAAAACAGGGAGGAGTTGATTTGATGTTTTTGGCAAAAGAGATGGGTATTAGATTGAGGGTTGTTGATGAATGAGTTGTTAGTTGTGTAGAGTGATTCTGGGTGAATGAGTTTATTTTCAGGAGATGGAGTCAAGTTAAAAGTGAGAATGAAGAGGAATCAAGTTGAGAAAAAAGGATCAATAAAGTTCTTTTGAATTCTGATAAATGTCAAGCTTTTACAAAGAGTGTCACTGAATTTCAACAATGACTACTTTGGCTCTTGCATGTGTGGCTCCTGAGGTTCAGACTTTTTGCACAACTCTTCGGAATATCCCTCCTTGCTTGCTTGTCCCTCTTATCAGGACAGCTGTATCCAGGATTGTGTTGAATTTCTTGTGCTAAGGAAAAAATAAGCTATAATTGAAATGCCAGAATCCAACAACATGCCTTCTAACAGGAGTTTCAAATCCAAGAAACTGAATTGAAAAAATTCTCTACAACAGCCTTTGCTGAACAGTAGGAGTGGTAACCCAGCTGTTGACAATGTGGCCAAGTATGACTGTAACTTGGCTTGTTCTGATTAGATTCCATCTTGCAAGATTTCTTGTTTCTCCCTAAATACAATGTTATTTCTACTTCCCTGCTGTTGATTGCTTGCTACACCTTCATTTCTCTTTGTATTTCTGTGTTTGGTGTGCCATGTCTTTCCGGTAAAGCAAGCCAATTCCCCTCAAGGCTTTCTTTTATTGTTTTTTTTTTTTTTTTGTTTTTGTCTCCTTTCAGATGGCCAGATTTCTCTGGGTGGGCCAAGTGTTTCTGTTCATTTTAAAGATGGTTCAAGCCTGCAATATGCAGGATCAGTTGATACACTTTGTGTGCCAAACTTACACAGCACAAATATCAATCATGTTTCAGCTTGCACCTTTCAGGGTCTGGATAGACAGCATAGTAGCATGAGTTTGCATCTATTGTGCCGGGGTCTGGTAGGTAGCTTATTAGGAGTAGGATAAATGAGCATAAAGTTTTGGAAAGGAAAGATAGCATAGTAGCATGCATTGCGCACACAGCCAATTATCTTGGGGTCAAGTGCAGGAGTGTTGGGGAGGTAGCAAAGTAGGAGAAAGGAGCAGACATACAGGCAAAACAGGTAATCAAAGGCATTTGTCTTCAGGATATTCAGACAGACAATATCATCCGGAAAGGCAATATAGGCAGACACAGAAAACACACAGTAAATCATCACAGAGGTGTTGAGTCAGTCAACAGAGGCAGGCAGTAATAGAACTCTGTGTAAGGAATATATAGTAATCATAAGCATTGAGGAAGCCAAAGAAGAGGTGGTTGGATGATAAATTAGAGAAGAGGGGATGCTAGGTATGAAGGAGTAATCAGCAGCAGTGAAAGCCAATCAGTCAAGCTGGCCTGCCACTTGGAACTGGCAATTGGGCCCATAGAGATTATGGCCAGGAATAGAAGCATGCCAAGATATTAAATTTCTCTTAGAAGATCAGAGGACACAACTAAGAATTTGATCTCATCGGATTGAAAGGTGAAAGATGTTAAACTCCCGAAAGAATATGTGTCCTGTGGTAATTGAACCCACATCTCTTATGTCAATTTCAAGTTTACTAACAACCGTAATAAGAATGCTTTTAGATGAATGACTGTGGATGGGTCAATGAATGCTACAGTACTGGTGTCTTTGAAATACTCATTTTTAGGG